TGGGAGGAGACGTCAGCATGTCATCCATGATGGCGGTGATGGCTTGCGATGAGTCCCATCGACGCGGAGGTCTCCATAAATGGGCACGTAGGGAGGGCAGAGTGCGGGCAGGGAAACGCCACAGCGGCTGCCTTAACTCTCTGGATGGACGTGACTCGCGTCGGGTGAAAGAGACAAGGGAGGGGTCAGGCTTTTACACGACTCGTCCTTGCCTCGGTGATGCTTGGCTGGCTACTAGCGAGGTCAAGCACACGTGCAATAGCGAGCGTGCACATCGGCACGAGACGTGTGCTTGGCTAGAAGCGGCACGAGCGATGTGACCAAACAACGAGCGGTGGCATGCTTGCACTGCGGCGCTTGGCCGGTGGTGGCACGGTCAGACGGCCATATGGCCTCTTGCCACTTGGTGTACGACGGTTTATACATCGAGGACGATAGTGACGCGGCAGCGGCAGCAGCGATAGCGGCACGGTCCCGAGGCCGTGTGAAAACTCTAGTTTGGTTTTGGTGAATTGATGAAACCCTAAGTGCTAACCTAGTTTATCAAAGTGATTATGAGATAGGTAGCACATTCCAAGTGGTGAAGCAAATAAAGATCATGACATGATGATGGTGATTCCATGGTGATGATCAAGTGCTTGGACTTGGAAAAGGAGAAAGAGAAACAAAAGGCTTAAGGCAAAGGTATAAATGATAGGAGCCATTTTGTTTCAGTGATCAAGACACTTAGCGAGTGTGATCACATTTAGGTTTGATAGCCATACTATTAAGAGGAGTGAAACTCGTATCGAAATGCGGTTATCAAAGTGCCACTAGATGCTCTAACTCATTGCATTTGCATTTAGAATCTAGTAGAGTGCTAACACCCTTGAAAATATTTGTGAAAATATGTTAACACACGTGCACAAGGTGATACACTTGGTGGTTGGCACATTTGAGCAAGGGTAAGAAACTTCACCAGTGGAGTGTCCGCCCGTAGAGTGTGGACAGTCTGACGGTGTCACCGGCGCCCTGTACAGATAAGATAGGGTTTCATAGAGTGCACCGGACGCTGGTCTCAACTGGACCGAAGCATCCGGTCAGTAAAAGCAGTGAAGATGCTAGCGTCGGTCTTCGATCGGACGCTGGGTCACTTTGTGACCGGACGCTGGCAGGGTGCATCTGGTCCTGCTGACGTGGCAGCGCACAGAGGAGATAGTGAGTGACCGGACGCTGGGTGAGTCCGGTCGGGCATGACTGGACGCGTCCGGTCGCGAGTGGAGGCTTACCGGAAGCGACCGGACGTTGGGGTCCTGCGTCCGGTCATGATCCAACTGACACATCCGGTCGTAGCTGGAACCTTACTGGAAGTAACCGAATGCTGGGGTCCTATGTCCGGTCGTGGCACTGTGCTACGTCCGGTCATCATTTGACCGTTGGAATTGGGTGCTCAGTATTTGAAGAGAGAGATGACGTGGCAGCCATCCGTTGATCGAATGCTGGCAAGGTGCGTCCGGTCGATCTGACCGAAGCATCCGATCACCCCGAGCAGTGCCCAGTGAAGGGGTACAACGGCTCTATTTCGTGGGGGCTTCTATTTAAGCCCCATGGCCGGCTCAAGCTCACTCTCTTGGCCATTTGCATTGACATAGCAATCTTGTGAGCTTAGCCAAAGCCCTCCCACTCATCTCCATCGTAGATTCAACATCTTTGTGAGATTGGGAGTGAATACAAGTGTATTGCTTGAGTGTTTGCATCTAGAGGCACTTGGTGTTCATGTTTCGCTGCGGGATTCGCTTGTTACTCTTGGTGGTTGCCGCCACCTAGACGGCTTGGAGAAGCGAGGATCGTCGAACGGAGGTTGGTGATTGTCTCCGGCTCCAATCGTGGTGATTGTGGGGGGTTTTGACCTTTCCCCGGTGGAGAGCCAAAAGGTACTCTAGTGGATTACTCGTGGCTTGTGTGATCCTCATCTTATGTTGGTTGTGCGGCACCCTATTGAGGGTTTGGCTTGAGATGCCAATTAGCGCGTGAACCTCCAAGTGAGTGAATCGCCACAACGAGGACTAGCTTGCCGGCAAGCAAATGAACCTCGGTAAAAATTATTGTGTCATCATTTGATTCTAAGGTGATTGGTCTTCATTGGTATTCATTCTTGTGATTGATTGGCTCCTTCCTTGACACTGTGGTATAACCATTTTGCTCACTCTCTTTACATTACCGCAAACTAGTTGTCAAGTTCTTTAGTGTAGCTAGTTGTGAGAGTTTGTTAGTTTGGTTAGTGTGGCTCTTTAGTTAGCTTTTGAGAGCGCACTAACTTAGTGTAGTGACATAGCTATTGTGTGGATATAAACTATATAAACTAGAATTGTGGTAGGTGGCTTGCAATTTTAGTAGGCAAGTGCAACACTTGCTTCACCTCGTAATTGTCTAACCGGTTTGATAAGTGTTGTTGTAGAAATTTTTAATAGGCTATTCACCCCCTCTAGCCATTAGGACCTTTCACCGTGGCACGACAGCACGGCGATGCGCGCAGCAAACTGTACAGGCTACGATGAAGGGAGGGAGATAGAGAGAGAGCAGCGCAGCAGCGCTGCAATGGCGACAGCGGCAACGGCACATAGCGCTGCAGCGTGGTAGCAGCAGCGGCGGTCAGCCAGGCCGGGGCCAGCCAACACCACGGCGCGGGCGACCGCAGCCGGCCAGCGCGCGGCCGAGCGCGGCGTTGCCGAGCTAGGGCATGGTGACCGCGGCCAGAAGGCCTAGCAGCAGCGCCTAAACGCAATTTGGACTATTTAAAACTTTTAATTAGCGACTAAAACCATCACTAACACGACTAACCCTTATACCATTGCAAAGCACTCGTCAAGATGCAAATCACCAGGCCAAAACATGACACTAGTTTTTAATTCCATTTTTCAGGATTTGAATGCCAAAATGGCATTGTCATTATAATTTTAGACTTGAGAGAAATATAGGGTTCAGTTTGAACTAACAATCCTTAACACTTTTGCCTAAACTTTTAGAAAGGTCTAAACCCTATTTATTTCACCCAACAAGCGTCTCATGCAATAGTCTATACTTTATACTAATCTTATGGAAACAAAATATTTAGGCACTATTTAATTAGTTTGCTTAATATAATTTGACAAAATTCGCACTTTAAACATAAGTTCAAATGTTTGTCGACTTAACGAAAAGAGTTTATCTTAATTTCAAATTGGGATTTTTGAACTCCCAAAAATATTAGTTAACAATATTTATTCTCAAAAATCCAAATTGCATTTTGATCTACTAAACTTACACTTCGAATTTTATTTAAGTACTATATACAAGTCGTATTTTATTTTTGTTTATAAAAATTGTTTTTCGTGCCAAACAATTAAAACGACCTATCCCATTTTTCTTGTTAGGATTTTCATTAGCACTTTTATGCACTAAGTAAGTTAACATGGGATATTTAGTTGAGTCCACCAAAGTGAGTCACATAGGATTCGTTTATCATTTTATGTGTGTTTTAAATTTTTTACAACCTGAAAACTTGATTGGCTCATCCCTCTTGGGCCTCAATTTCGGTGCTAAGCAAGCTCGTAACACCGGAAGTGTTACATGGGCCCTCATCGTGCAGCGCTATAAAGAGAAGGTGGGGGCGGAGGCTCAAGGTAGGAGGTTCGCCGCCGCCCATAGTACCCCCACCTACAAACCCTAACTGATCTAGAGGGAGGCGCTGACAGCGACGGAAGCTCCACCGCCACTGTCCTCGACACTCGCCGCCGTCACTGGACTTCACCCCGGGACGCCGCCGTCGCCGGACACCGTCACCATGACTTCCTCCTCCACCAAACTCGATGGTCAGCGACTTATATCCCCTCTCTCTCTCTCTCTCTCTCTCTCTCTCTCTCTATATATATATATATATATATATATATATATATATATATATATAGTCATGTTCTAGGAAGAACTCTCTGTTTTATCCTGAATAGAAAAGAAACCACCCGCTAGATCTACTACTTGTTGATCCTAGAGTTTTAACACGCTGCTGCCAAACAACCAAAATAGCAGAGGTACACGTATCAACGACCCGTGGAACGTAAAAGGCTATTAAAGCACGTAGGATGGAATATGGATAGATGAGTGGTAAAAGGAATATATTTCTAAGTTTGAGGGGGAAATTAAACCAACAAGGATAGGATTTGATGTGGAAATTATACCACAGTGAGAGTTCAAGGAACCTTTTTTCTAAATTTAAAAGGAAAATTGAACCATATTAACCCTTTTTTTCTAAATTTAAAAGAAAAATTAAAACGACGTTAAGCCTTGTTTGGATGTCCACATATTTACCTCGCCCTTAATAGGATTTAATAAGGAAGAAAAAGTGGTAATTTCTAGAGGTAATAGAAACTTTTTCCTAAATTTGAGGCAGCAGCGATAATTCAGAGGTCTTTTCCTAAGAAAATAGTTCGCACCTAACCCCTGACGGCCCATAATTTGTCATGTAAATCACAACAGCGGACCAAATAATGTCGGCGGCGCAAAAAAAACGTCGCAGAAAGGCCCGTTTGGTTAAGTACACATTTAGGTTTGGTTCTTGATGGAAAGGCAAACAGAAACGCTAAAATAATAAACGAGCAAAGCAAGGCCTCTCCAACTCGTAAACAAAAGAACAGACTTTCCATAGATGTAGTATATTACACAATTCGTTGCTGCGAGGCTTGAGAGTTTATGAAAAATACAGTTGAAGCCATGAAAAGCAAACGTTAAGGGACAGCACAAAATCTCATTTTTCATGTTATTACAGAATGTGGTTGTAAAATGAAGCGCCTTCCGAGCAAATTACAAAAACCAAACCGTATCAAAATTGGTAACCCTCCCTGGGGAACTCCAGTGTAAAGATGGATGTGGCGCCACAGAACCTCAGCCTCGCAACTCCCAAATTTTACTGCCTTCCCAGATTATCAGTAGACTTGTTTCCACGCGGTTGCCGATTCATGGACAGGTGGGGTGGGGTGGGGGGCTTCTCATTGTATTTTCAATATTGCTTTCAACTTTACAACAAGTTTCCAGTCTTCAATAGACAAATCCTCCTGCATTTTAATAATAATTAAAAGAGGAAAATCAGAAACCAGTACTGATTTACGTGGCACACATGAAAAACAAGGGAGAAGAATTGGACTTGCCCTGTAGTTTTGTTTCAAAATATCAATAGATCGTCTTGATATCCGGCTGACAAGCTCATCTTCCATATCAAAGTGTCTGCCGAAGCTCCTCTGCTGCTCGTCAGAATTGTTTGCGATAATCTGTTCACAAACCCAGCAAACGATTATATATAATAATAATAATAATAATAATATACAGAATCCAGAATAACATCTTGGAATAGTGATGCAGATGATGGCACCAACCTTAATAGCGACCTTTTGTCCTTTTGTCGCCGTATCAACTTGCTTGTGATTGATTTCAATTGAGGCAATCTTCCCAATATCAATATATTCTTTAGTGGGTATGCAGAGAGGAGTTCCCACCTAAATGACAGGGAAAAACAAGATATCAGGGCAACATACATATCTGAAAATCCGGTCAGTAGTCATAACTTAGTATCGGAAAGCCAAAACATAGTCATAAGCCGTGATTAGTACTTGGCGGCCCCACTGATGAGATGGCTGATTCCCCCAAAAACAGTGAACATAACTCTCAAGCCTCTGAATCTTTATACAAAACTTTAGTTCCTAGATTAGAGTATATTGGATTCATTCGTGCCTTAATATTTATTAGGTCTAACTAATTAATAAAGCAACATGGAAAAACAGAGTAAGAGTAGAATACTGATGACAACAAAATACCTTAGCTATTCCTTCAAGGACATCAACACCCAAAACGATTGGATCCTTCTTGTTGAAGACACAGTTTGGCATAATCTTAAGAACACAAGGGAACACAGCTTCTTCAGCGCTTTCCTTCTTCTTCTCTTCCTTGAGGTTCTTAATGTATGCTGTAAATTGGTCAAAAAGGTGGTATATTATATCAGCCACAAAGATCCTCACACCGGACTCTTCTGCAAGCTCGCGGGCATCAGGCATCACTTTGACATCAAAGGCCAAGATAGTTGCATATTCTTTCTTTCTCTCAAGCATAACACTAGCCTTCATAACATCCTTCTTGTGCACTGGCCCTATACTGAAATCACAGAAGGGAATATTCACAGCAGGGCTCTTCAAGAACTCAGTGAGAGCTTCCAAAGACCCAAGGGTAGATGCCTGTACATAGACACCCTCACCACTCTTATCAATCCGGCTCCTAACCCGTGCCATCTCTTCCATAACAGCTTCCTTCAGTTTGTCTAAATCATCATCAGGTCCTAACACGTAAAGAGCTGTCCCTGCAATTGCATGTTCGAGACCCTGAAGAAAACAATCGTTAATACACTGCCATAAAACTTAGAAATGCCAAACTGAAAAACTGTATCCACCTGAGCAGATATTTTGATTCCTTGTGCAGCTCTGATCTCCTTATGATGTAGGTAGGTGCCCTGAAAATACGCGTTTTTAGGTGTATTACTTCAATTTGAAGCATTAAACTAAGAACAATTTAACACTGGTCAAATAAAAAATGAATGGCATTCAAGTGAGGTAAACTTGAATGGTCAAACCATATAACCATCTAAAAGTTATCAACAAATAAACTGGCAGTTGGAAATTGTCTATGCTTCATAGGTAAGCATGGTAATGTGAAAGTAGGTATTCTTAAATGAATTGGGGTAGCTGATGAAATACAGGAATGGCAAGGCCAGTGACACCAGTACAATCTTTGACAACATCCACTGCTCAAAAATGTAGTCTTTAATTCTCTTGGTAGAGGAACTACACTTATACCAACTGTTTTGATTATTCAGAACTCCACAATGAACATAAATCAAACCTATCCTATTTTTATGTAATGATGGTTGGCTGTTTAAGTATTAGCTGCACCCACATTTTTTTTCATTGGGCCCAATACCAGCAAAACCATAACATAACCCCACAATGGTTGTTTACCAAAGATAAGAGCAGTAACATCTGTGTGGCAGAACCTACATTATCTACCAACCAAAGTGTAACCAATAGTAATCCTCCCAGAATAAAATGATTTTCACCCGACCATCCAAGAGTATCTTGCTGGGTGTGAATTGATATCCAAATAATCAAAGCTGCAACATTATCAGATACTCACCTTAACTCGAAGCTCTCTCATTGGGTGTGGTGTTAACAAAGCCCTGACAGTTGTCGCAATGGGTCCCTATATAAAAATACAAGAACATTAGGCATCTTAAAGTTCTGCTCCAATTCTAGCACTTAAAATATAAATTAAAACACCTTCTACCTGCATGCCACAAACAACTATTTGATCTCCTTCATGCAGTATACCATTGACCAAAACAACATCAATTGTAGTACCATGACCTTCAACGACCTTAACTTCCAGTACAGTACACTGAAACAAAAGAAGATAATTAAAAAGAATGCATTTTTCTGTAATGGCACAATAAAGATCAAAGTACATTACCTGGACTTCATCAACAAAAGTAAGTTTTTCTTCCATTGTCTTCTGTGCCCATTGAACCAACAATAGAAGCAAATCAGGAATGCCTTCACCACTGGTAAGTGCAGTGCATAACATGTCAATGTAAAGATGGCAATAATATGAGATGCAATGTAACATATAGTGCATAAAAATAGACGACGCAGTAAGTTAATGACCAAACCTTACAGCACTCGTAGGCACTATGTTAAAGGTATCTTCCATCTCCTTGTTCTTGTAGTACAAAGCTGTATTCACTCCTTGCATCTTGAATTGTGTAACAATCTGTTGGGCAACACAAGCACATGTTTTAATCATGGCACTGCATGATGGTTTTTTCTGCTAAAAAAGAAAGGGAAACAAAGAATGCGCTGCTCACTCACATCTGTAAGTCTCATATTGAACTCCCTCTTAACATCTTCATTTTGCTGTTTTAAAGCCTTCACAATAGGAGCATTTGGACATTTCTTCCAACCATAAAGACGATCAACCTTTATAGAGTGAAAATAAACAGATTAAGTAATGAATAAGTAACAAAAATAGTAAGGAAAGCCAAAAGTCAAAGGGCAACTCTAGAAAACATACCTTATTCAAAGCAACAATGAACACTGCATCTCGACTCTTCAAAAGATTCAGGGATTCAATTGTCTGAGGTTCAAGCCCATGCATGATGTCAACAACCAAAATGGCAATATCACACAAACTTGAACCTCTAGAACGCAGATTACTGAAGGACTCATGCCCAGGGGTATCAATAACAAGCAGGCCTGGAACCTTGAGTGTAGCATCAGCTTTCAACTCCCTAGTTCTCTCTCTAATGTTTTCAGTAGGGAAGTATGTCGCTCCAATCTGTTGGGTAATACCACCAGCTTCGCCTTCTTGCACATTAGTGCGTCTAATACAATCTAGCAGCTTTGTCTTGCCAGTATCGACATGACCAAGGATGCAGCAGATTGGTGATCTGAGGTCACTACCATTCTTGTTATCCTCTTTGACAGGTCCTTTCTTTTTGTTCCTCTTAATATTTCCATTATTGGCACCACCACCATCAGTTTCACTCTTTTTAGAGTCTGCAACAGGAGGGGCAAGCTTTTTGACAGCAGGCATCGCAGGTTGAGCTTTAGTATTTTCCTGTTTCTGGGCAGGCTCAGCCTTCTTGACAACAGGCTTTGCCTCTTCCTCATCAAAAGCGCTTGTTTTAGGCAAGTTGACATCAATATCATCCCAGCTCTTTGCATCCCACTCATCCTCATCTTCCTCTTCTTCTTCTTCTGATTTTGGCTCTTCAGTCTCCTGGTCAGGTTCAGTTTTCTCCTCGGATTCCTCAACCTGAGATTGTGATTCCTGATCCACGAGCACATATTCTTCCTCATCATTGTTAACATCATTGAGTTCTTCCTGTTGTTCTTCAACTACCTTTGCAGTCTCTGTGGCCTTTGATTGAGCTTTCTTTTTCTTAGAATTGTATATTGGCCTCTTCTTGGTCTCAGGGGCAGCACCCTCAGCCTTTTGGAGTTCACTCTGCTCAAGGAACTGTCTCCTCATGGCTTCTAACCTCTTCGCTTCCTCCTTCTGCTTCCCAGTCAAGAGCTTACCCTCCTGCTTCTTCTTGAGCAGCTTCTCCTTTTCCCTCTCCTTCTTCCTCCTCTTTGCTTCCTCCGCTTTCCTCTCCTCCTCCTCGCGTCGCAGCCGCTCTTCCTCCTCCTTCCGCAATCGCTCTTCCTCCTCTCTCTTCTGTCTCTCCTCAGCTTCCTTCCTCCTGGCAAGTGCCTCCTGCATCTCACGAACATGTTTAGGGAGCTTCTTCATGTCAACCTTCCCTTTAGGAGCCTCTTGCTCCTTCTCCTCTTTCTTAGCCTCCGCTCCCTTTGCTGCAGCCTTTTTCTCCTTCTCCTTTTCCTTCTTTTTCTTCTTCTTCTTGGCAGCAGCAGATTCCACCTCTCCTTCCTCAGCTTTGTCCTCCGCATTACCATCCTCTGCAGCTCCATCGTCCTCCTTGGCCAATGCAGCTGATTGTGGTGCCTGCGCTAGCTTGTCCTCCTCCGCAGGAGGGACTCCATCAAGCTCAGCAAGAACCTTCTCCAACTCCTCTTCTTCCTTCGCTGTCCTTCCGCTCTTCTTCTTTTTCTTCTTCGATTTCTTCCCTTCAGCATCATCCACAGGGGCAGCAGCAGCCACAGTTCCCTCATCATTGGTGTCCTTGGGCTCAGGCTCCTCTGCAGGAGGCGGGTGGCCCTCTATCCCCGCAAGGATCTGGTCGATGTCCTCACCATCCACATCAATCGTAAACCCTCCCTTCTTTTTCTTCTTCTTTGATTTCTTTCCCGCGGCATCATCCGCATCAGGGGCAGCCACAGAATCCTGAGCTTTCACCTCCTCTGGCTCAGGCTCATCCGCGAGCTGAGGATCCTCCTCCATCCCCGCAAGGATCTCGTCGACGTTCTCACCATCCATCATAAACGCACCCTTCTTTTTCTTCTTCTTCTGCTGCTTCTTTGCAGCTGCTGCGGCAGTCACTGAGGGCTCCTCATCCTCCTCCTCAGCCACAGGTGGGGGTGGCGGGGTGGGCTCGTCGTCCTCGTCTTTAGCAGGCGCCGAGCGAGGCCCCTTGTCCTTCTTCTTTTTCTTCTTCTTGGACTTGCTGAAGTCGTAATCGAGGTCGTCGTCGTCCTCGGCTGGATCATTGCTGGGCTCCGGCTCGGCCGCGGCAGCCGGGGCGGGGTCCTCCTCATCCTGGTCTTCGTCCTCCTCGCCGAGGGCGCTGAAGGAAGCGGTGGGGGCGGCGCCCTTCTTCTTCTTCTTCTTGCCGGTGAAGACGAGGTTGACGGGCTCGTCGTACTCGTCCTCGTCGGCGGCGGGCGGCGGCGGCGGCGGAGGGGGCTCGTAGTCGTCGTCGTCGGGCGCGGCGGCCTTGCCCCCCTTCTTGCCCTTCTTGCCGCCCTTCTTGGGCTTCTCCTTGTCGGCGGCGGCGGCGGCGGCGGCGGGCGCGGGCGGGGCTGGGTCGGCCGCGTCGTCCTGCGGAAACGAGTACTCGTCGTCGTCGATGGCGACGTTCTTCTTGCGCCCCATCGGCGGCGAGCTCGGAGACCCTAGGGTTTGGGTTGGGGGCGGGGGAGAATGCGGCGGGCGGGCGGACGGACGGACGGAGATCGACGCGGCGGGGGCGAGGTGTGGAAGAGAAAGGAAAGCAAGGAAAACCCTACTTGCGTTTGCGTGGGTGATGATGCGATGCGATTGGAACTGGAATTGGGTTGCCAAACGGATTTGGGACTTGCAAATTTGAAGTTTCTTTTTTTTTTTTATTTCTGCAATCAAACACGATAATATATATATATATATATATATATATATTAATGAGAAGTGTATCCGTAATGTCGTCTTCTTTCCCTGAGTTTTTTTTTCTGATAAAAAGACAAATTACAAGCGGCTTATAGAAACGTGTGGATTTGTTGGCTCCACACAATGCTACATCCTCATGGACCCTTGTATTTTCAACGGACGAGAAAAAGAAAAAGAAGATACATTACTCAAAGTCTAATGTAATTACATCGTACCTTGCCACATCTCACATGCCACTGGTGAAGCTACCTCTTATAATCCATCTTTTTTAGCTTTTTTTCAATCAAACAATATTTTTTTTTCACAGCAAACCAGTCAGAATAGTGTTTCGACTTGTTTTTTCAGCGAAGCAAACGGGGCCATAGTAATTAGGCGGTGCAAATGCACCTCCTCTAAATTATAAAAAGCTTGTCTTGTTCGCTGCCATGGTATAATATTTTTCTCTCACAACAAAACAGCACCAACCGATTTATCATAGGCAAAAACCAACCACCGAACAGTCTGTGGCTATAATTAAAATTTTACTATATATGCATCATCTGTAATTTAAGACTATATACCCATAAGATAAGCACACCCTTCTCCAATTAGATCTAATTTCACCACTTCCTCTGACGAAGCTTAGGCATGTGGCACAACTGTCACAACCCCCTAGTTTATTTTTTTTTAGCAAAGTGTGTTCCACGAAGGTTTGGCTGATGTTTCCTTCGTCACAGCTAGGGCATGGACACCGGTGTGGCACGACGCACTCACAACACCGTCCAAACTCGCCTTAGTAACATGCTAGTACTGACAACTTCTCTGGCATGTGTTTGGACAGAGGGTTAGAGTGGGTTGGACTCATTTTTTCTACTGTTTGATTTGGAGTCCAGCGGATCTGAGTCGAACCCACAGAGGTATATATCTCTCTAGTGTATTTTGTGAAGATAGAGAATCAGAACTATTTGCTATAGTGCTTGCAGTGAGAGAAAGCCGAAGCAAAAAAAAGAGCCATACCATAGTTAGTGGTGAGGTCCGCTTAGAATCTAGTAGAAGATTTGTCTATTTTATATAGAAAACTAAGACATGCTAGCTAGATTTTTGGGTGGAAGGGACGAACCCACAACCAATCATGTGATCAAAAGTTGTTTGATTATGGTCCTTTCTGGTAGAGTTTTTGTTAAGGCTTTTTGCCGGCTTAATAAAAAAATCCTAGCAAACGAGCACATTAAAACTAAAGAAAAAAAAGGTTAAAACCGAAACAGTTTTAGGGACAAAAGTCAAAGCCATAAAAATGTAGTCTTTTCGGGCTTCTTCATTTTTTTATTAAAATTCTCAAGATTTCACTCTGAATATCTTAACCTCTTACTTGGCAAGGAGTAGTTCGTTGCGTAAGATTTTTTTTTCTAGTTTTGTATAGAAAAAAAAGAGGGCTTAACACTTCATTTTTGTTGAAAACATGATCGTAACCCCAGACTGGAGACATGTGTTTGTTGGTTGGATGTGTATGGATGGGATTGGACCATCCATGGATCACTGATGTTTGGTTGGATGAATCACTGGGACCAGTAAAATCATGGATAATGAATATAACTCCAGGTGTTGGATTTCCTGGTTCGTAAAAATCTAGTGAACCAATTTATTCATGTCTTCTAATCTTTGTCATTAATAAATGAATTAAGGATGATTAGTATGTTATATTATTACTTAGTATTATGATGGTAGGATTAGTTTTGATAAGTGATAATACATTGATTAGTGCATGTTTCGTGTGCTAATCAGGTTATTAGTTGTGCTAATTAACATATTTATTTTAAATTAGTGATTTTTATGGCAAAATTAGTATTAGTACATATTTATTAGTGTCTAATTAGTTGTTATTATTTTAACTAATAGAATTAGACAACTATTCTATTCACATCCACTTTCATCTATCAAAACAAATAGAAAAATAGTTCGTCCTATCCATCCAACCAAATAAGCACCCGGTTCGGCTGACAGAATTTTAGCTAAAACTGACTGAAAAACACTATTCTACTGAATTATTGTAAAAGACAAACATTGTTCCTGGCTAAAAAAAGAAGCCGAATAAGCCAAATATAGATGTAAGCCAGATGGCCCTGTCCTGTCCTATCCAACTTCGCCGTATCCTGAACTTACGAAAGTTTGGCGGTCACCAGTTTCAGGACAACACAAGTCCAAGCACATCGAAAAGACTGCACTGATGTTATCGGTTGTTAACACGCTGCTGTCGATGCAGCTTGGATTCCGAAAGTTGCATAACATGCTCCTCAGACTGTCAAGTTCACTAGTTATCAGCATGGCTGAGTGGAAGAATAAGATGCATCAGCATGACTGAGTGGGGTGTCATCCTCATCAGCAAAACAATAATTCTGTTAGCAACCGAATTAATAACCTCGGTCGCCAAGAATTAAGTCCTGTTACAGACGATGTCGTATATGATACAGGCACATCCCATTTGTTGCAGAAACTACTACGGTAGAGTATTCTTGCACTGCTAATCTGCTACTGCACATCAATATATCTCAAAGCACAAGTAGCACAGGCAGTTTAGTGCTAGCAGTTTCTATTGTACCTTTACCTGTTAATAACAGAAACAATGCCCCAAACCCAATCAGTGACAGCTACTTGGAATCTACATATGTATGCTATATTTCAGATTTGGACCCTAGAATCAACCACCTTACCTCGTCAGCCCAATCTCCAGCCAGATTAGATCTGTGTATGAATCTGTAGTTCTGTACCCTGAACAAACGTGGCAGCCTACATGGTTGTGGAAAAAGACTAGTGTTGGGCTAACCAATGTACATGTGCAGCAGACTAAACAGGAGCCTTTTCTCCACCTTTCTAGCGTCCTAGTAATAACTATTGTTATTGCCCAAGTCTCCCTGAATCCGTGGCTATGTTCTGCTCTTGAACTTTCTATGTGACTTGAGGTCGACTACAATGACGGTTATGTTGTCCTTGCTCCCCTTCTGGAGGGCCAGCTTCGACAAATATTCAGCAGCTGCTTGAGCTGCTTCATCTGCCGAATCACCGCTTCTTTGGGCTGACGGTGAGGCGTCTACATTCTTCTTGTGCCACAGCAGTATGCGTTTGCGAGCAGCATCACATACCTCCTCGTTTGACATTACATCCCAGAGGCCATCACTGGCAAGAATTAGACATTCATCATCTTTTGCACGGGCAACAATTGTGACCTCAGGGACAGGGATTATATATGGCTTCAGGTACCTGTCCCCTGCATATAGATCAACAATATGTCATCTGGCAATCAATCAAAATTACATCATCATTCACCATCACCGTTATCATTTGTCTATCACTCTATCTGATGTTGGGAGAAATAAACAGTCAAAAGAGCAGTTGGTTGATGGTCACTTTTTCATCCACATGTCTATCTGGTTGTAGTCAAGTTTAAATGAGGTAGACTGGAACACTGAAACAAAGGCAACAAAACAGTACACGAGGTTCTAAAGGTTCAATAAAAGTAAAACAAAGATCATTGGGCCTGACCCTCTCCTGTGACTGCAAGGAGTCCATGATTATAGAACATAGGGTCAAGCAGTCAGTCCTCGGTCCATGTAATGAATAAGATTAACTGAATTTGTGGACTCCTGTGGGTGAAGTGAAAGGAAATGTTGAAGCTCAACAGATGCGCACAATGGCCTAATTTCCTCACAAGCCTGGAAGCACTACCAATTGTTCTGTAGTAACCAACCACACATGAACACAGGGGCTTACAGTCTGCACTGCATAGTCAGTGAAACATTCCAAACCACACAACTGTTTGTTATCCAACAGAAGTCCATACCATTTCATCCAGTAGCACTAATTAAAACCGGAACTCATTAGGTTTCCATAACGGACAAGCAAACTTGACTTTACCAAAATCAAAGCATATATATCCCTAAAGCGAAACTGCAACAAATCAAATAGCCAATAATTTATCAAAGAACAGAATGGACCAGTCAACAACATTCCAAGTGGTGATAGCTACATATTGTACCCTTTGTTGTAAGTAGTCTGATTAACTAGTCTGTAGTTTTTCAGGAATAACTGTGAGGATGTATACGGCATCATAAGCCAACGTTGCTCTCATGCCATGAAGAGGACAGGGACACGTACCAATTGACCGGGACATGGCGAGAACACCGAGAACTCGATAGCCATTCCAATTGATGACCTTGCCTCCCTGGGCCTCAATCCTTGCATACTCATCTTCCCTGTTTGGCTGTAACAACAAGAACAGCAAACGAGCAATACATCATACAATCAGGCTAGCACCCAGACAGAATCAACAGATTGAGTGAAACAAGTAGAAGAGTTGACCCGAGAAGAGATGATGGCTTACTTTATGGTCCACGGACAGCGCCAGGGGCTGCTTGCCCCGGCAGAGCACCGCTCGCGAGTCGCCGCAATTGGCAACGATGACATGTGATGAGCAGACAAGTGCAACCACTGCTGTTGACCCCACGGTGTCTGGAGCCACAGGCTTGCCTTCGGTCGCCGCGTTTCCTCCCACCTCTGCATCAACACGGCTGAAGCAGTCCACAAAGGCCTTCTCCCAGTGCTTCTTAGTATTAGGGCCAAGACCACTCAAGTCAGCGTCGGACGCGGCCTCCTCTGCCTTGGTGAGCTCCTCTGCCAGTACCTTGTGGATTCTCTCACGGCAGTAGTTGGCGACCTGCAGCAGCGGGATTCATTGATCAGGGAGCTTGCAGCTGCAG